TGCTTCTTATTTAATTAAAATTGTTAGTCACCTTTTGTATAAATAATTATTTTGCATTTTTTGTTCATTTATGAAGTTTTCTCTTTTCCCAGCCATTATAATACATTCCTTTTCCAGCTCTCAATTTAAGTGAATGAAGCTTGGAAAATTCCTGAAGCCACTCGAATCCATTTAGCTACTTTTTTCCTGGCACAGTTTCTCGCCCTCGCCACCTATACTGGCGCGTCATTATCTTGATTAATGCAAAGGGCGCTTCAATAGCAGATGCTCCAATTTTGCCAGCGGCCATATTTGCACCGCATAAATTCGAATTTTCAAAAATCGCGGCTAGGAAAATGAAAAAGGCTTTTCTGCCAGTTTTGTCGAGTGGCTTTTAGCAAAAAATATTATATCAGTTTTTTTTATATATTTTTTTTTATAGCCGTGTGTCGCGCGCATCGAGGCGTAAATGGCCGTCCGAAAACTCACCTGAACGTGACGCAGAATAGAATGCGTGACCCGGCGATGTGCGCATTGCAAAGTAAATATAAATATTTGGCGTGTGTATGACGCTGGAAATTCAACACGTGCAGAAAAAAATCGGCTCTGACAAGCAAATGCTGCTCTGCAGTGCAGATGGATATGACGAATTTCAAGACTTTTCATGGGTTGATCTGCGAGCTTGTTGGTGCAGTTTAAACAAAAAAATTACTAAAACTATTTTATAAAATTTTCTATGAATTACAAACAAACAATATTGAAAATGACAAACTAATTCAATTAATCATCCTCATAAATTGCTTTTGCAATCGTGGTAATTTTGCTGTCAACAAACAAAAGTAAAAGGACAGCTTTGAAAAATTAATAATTAAATTCATTCAAAGCAATTTTATCAGAAATATAATATTCTGAAATTAAATTAACATTACATTTACTAAACATTAAAATTTTCTGCTTTTCAAAGAGGAGCTTAAATTAAATTAAATATACACTGAAATTAAAACTTCTAAACCTTTTCCCACAAGATCAAATTTTTTATATTGACTGACCTATTGATTTTATTTTTCCGTGTTAATTGGAGTGATATGAAAGTTTGGTCAAAATTGTATCAATTTGGGTCGAGCAAAAATTTTGTGGAAGAAAATACTTTTGAAAATTTCCATAAGAAACTATAAAATTTTCAAAAAATTCAGTTTCCCAAATAAATTAATTCATTATTTCATATCTCACCGGAAATGAATTCTACCAATCAATGCTATAATTAAGAAAAAATTTCCCATCAAAATCAATCGGGCCTATTTTTAATAGAAAATTCTCGCCTTAAATTAATGATTTCAATTTATAAATTGAATAATGTGCAATTACTGTAATTTTTCGCAATTACATTTCCCATTTTCTGCCTTTTTTCCACACTCTATTTTTGTCCGAGTCTCGTCAACTGCCATTGGGTGTAATTAAAAGTCTTGGCGTCGAGTTGGCGGGTGCGTCGTTAAGGGGATGCCGTTGGTGCAAAGTTTTTAAAGCGCCTTAACACAAAAAGCACAGCGCAGAGTGCATGGCAAAGAGGAAAACGTCTCGCCAGATGGAAACGTATAATAACAATGGCCAGGTAGGTGCGCCAGGCCAAAATAAAAACTTTTCCCGGCACCAGCAAAAGAAAGAAAGTCGCGGCCGTAACAGCACAACAAAAAGAAAGAGGAAATAAAAGTCTTTCTTGCTCTTACCGCGGCTCATTTATTCACGCATCGGCAACTTTCAGCACGTTGCCCACGCACTTTTCCCTCGAATTTATATATTTTGCACTTTCTTAATCCTTTGAAATTTCATTAAACTCGGTCTTAAGCGGGCCCGAAACGCGCCCGAGCTTCTTTAATCTTGGTAAGTGCGGCTCTTTCAAGGCTCACAACCTCCGCAAACATCTCCGAACTTGGCCATTAACAGCATCGAGCGCACCGCAATACCTGATTTGATAGAAGAAGTGCATCGTGGACAAACACCGAAATCATTTTCTTCGGCTCGCGGAATGAATTTTTCATCGCGAGCAATGCTTGGGTAAATATCCAAAACAAAGAAAGAAAGAAAGACGTGCCACTTTTGGAAAGGAAAAATTAATTTTCCCTCCCCGAGGAAGTGGGTCGGTGGTTTATTTTGGCAAAAGTTATTTCGGTCGGCTGCAAGATCACGTTCGAAGCGGAGGCAAAGTAATAACAGCACTTAAGGGAGCCCAAATGTGCAATCAAAGCTCAGAGTAACCCTTACGCATGTCGTTTTTACAAGCCATGGAATGTGAGCAAAAATTGAGTGTATCTTTGCAGAGCGTAAAACATACATATTAAATTTGCTTCAATGCTTTAATTTAGAGTAAGAAGTCTTCATCGAAATTTTGCTTAGAGTCCTGTTTGTTATCTTTCAAATAGTTTTTTTTCTAAACACATTTCACAAAACACACGAGTTTTAATTATTATCCCCTTTTTTTAGCTTCGGTTCAAAATCTGAATTTTGCACGCGTGCAGGCTGAATCGATTGAAGTGTTTGCTGCTCACTTGAATAAATCCAGCCCATAATGCGGCGTTGCTTTGGGAACAGCAGATGACGAAATGAACATCATTAATGGCGCAAACTCCTCAGCTGCACTTGCACTTACGAGACCTTTTTTCCGCGAATGCGTTAGGATTTTAAGTGCACCCTTTTTCAATGTGCCAACTGGGCTGCATTCAATTGCGGGAAAATTAAATTCCAAGCTCAAAATAATGCAGCCGCGCAAAAATAATGCAAATCGCAGAAGTTGAGCTCAAGTGCAGCTATTGTTTCCTGTTTTTTCAGCATGAAGTGCGACGTGAAAGAATGAAAATTATTTTTTAAACAAATAAACAGAAAAAGATCAAGGTTTTAATTATAATAAGCTATTTTTTTACCAATTTTTTCAATATCTTTTGTACTTATTTTAATTAAATTGAAAATCTTCTTAAATTGGATCAAAGAAAATAAATTAAATTTAAGAAAAAAGTTATATCGAAATAGTTCAGGACTAAGATGTATTGAAATTTTGACAAATGAAGGCATACAAAAGAATAAGTCGCATTAAATATAATTTAACCTTGCATATTATAATTTTTTAATTTTTTTTTTATTTTTTAGTTTATTTATTTCATTTATTTAATTACAAGTCCAGCCAATTTCCGAAGAAATTATCGGCTGGTGCTTATCAGACTAATTGCTTCACGTAGAAGCTCTTAGTTCTTTCACATTTGAATTTTTACAGTGCATTTTATTCTACATTATCATTTTGCTTTAACATCCATACTTTCAATTTAGTTTTCACTTCATTTTTATTTTGCAAGTTTTTTAACTCTGGTGGCAATTTATTCCACAAGCGTGGCAATATACATTCAGACGTTCTATTGAAATATTTGTTTTCTTTCATTGGTTCTATAACTGGCTCTAATTGTATTGTTCTCGTGTTGTAAGGATGGATTCGAGGTACTCCGTGATTATCATCAAAATACTTCAGACACAATAAATTTAATTCAAATATTTTTTCAACAGATAGTACATTCCAAAACTCAAACTGATTTTCAATAGTCGATTTATGCCTTCTGGTGCACATGTTATACAAATAAGCGGAAAACATAATTAAAGCGATCGTTCTCTTGATTTCATACGAAATTATTTCATGAAGAGCTTTTGTGTAAAGCAAGAGTTGTTGAAGTTGATCTCGGGCGTAATTTCACGCGTGAACGGCGTCAAGGGCGCACCTGCCTCTTTACTCGTCTGCGGGCTGCAGCGGCTATATTGATCCGACATTGAGGTCATATTACGTGAGTGGCCAAACAAATGGCCAGCCCTGCTATTATCTGTACGCACGCTGGACCAAATGTGTGAGTAAAACCAAATGAGAGATAAGCTTTCATGCGAACAAGAATTATAATGCGCTAAATCAAATAAAATATTAATTAAAGCATGAAATTCCGTCAACTAAGTTTCTGTAAATAGCTTTTTCAATTATTTGTGCAATTTAAACATCAATTAAATTTTGATTAAACAGAGGTGAAAATATTTTTGAATTATTTTTTGTCAAATTTTTTTAAGAGATCAAAATTTTTTGTTAACAATTTAATCAATCTTTTTTTGAGAGCGAATATTTGATGAGCTTATTGAAAAGAAAATAATTTTTGCACTAAAATAGCAAAAGTAGGCATAGCTGAAGCATAATGATAATATTTCCACCATAAAGTCCTGATAAAATGACAAAATGTCAGAGGAGAAATAATTAAGCTCCGTTGCGCGTGTTATTTACGACGGCCAGCACATAAAATTAGAGAATTTACTCGGCGTCAAATCTGGCGTCCATCATTAGTTACGAGGCGAATGATGCGCGCCACGAGTTGTGATTGTGAAGCGACGAGTGCGGTATTATTATTATTACTACAGCGAGGCGTGCAAATGACATCATAAAGCAGAGACATCAACACGTCTTTACTCTCAAATGGAGCTGCCAAGCCGCGCTGTTTATTCTCTTAATTGTGATTCTGCTCTTTTCGTTATTTCCTTTTCGCAAATCAAAATTGCCAAAAAATTACAGCTAATCATGTTATATAAAAAAATCCTTAAAGTTTATCTCGATTTGAAACTTTTAAAAACTGATGCAAATACGGTATACAACGTAAAAATGGATCTTAAAGAGGCAAATCCAGTGAAATGATTAAGCTATGATTTCTTCCTATGATTTTTATTACCAAAATACGAAGCTATAAAATTCAAATAAATCAATTTTGCCAAATATTATAAATTTTTAAATTTACATCTCTTAAAAAAAAAATTGGTGGCCAAATTGTTTAATTTTAATTCACTATACAAACAAATAGGAGGTCTTTTGTCTCTTGGAAAATTGTAAAAAAAAAATTAATTTTAAATGTGACGCGTTTCCCGTTTTTTCTCAAAGGTATAATTATTGCCGCTGCCATGTTTTTAACACTTTTTTGCTTATCAAATACAAAAACGAGGCCAGAAACAAGCAAACCGGCAGAGCTCCACTTAATCAACCATGAGGAGGACGCACGTGTTTTGGTTCCTATGCGTTGCCATCCTGGTTCTCATAGGACAAGGAAGTGGTGAGAATGATTCATCAAGAGTAAAAAAATAGTTCATTAACGCAAAATCTATCAAGGTACAAACTCGAAGCCGCGCAAAAAATTCAGAAAGCCGCTGTCCTTGATTTCGCCAAATGACATGCGTGGCCCCGACGGTCAGATTTCCAGTTTGTACACGGAAGTGTCGCCGAAACTGAAATGGCCCAACGGAGTCGTCTACTGGGAATACGATTCCGCAAGCACTTTCAGTCAATAAATTAATAAATATACTATACTTTTTTTGTTGTAATGTACAATTCAAAATTATGCAGCCGATGCGCAAAAGGCGATCATCACAAAAGGAATGCAGCAAATTCAAAGCGTGACTTGCATCAAGTTTGTGGCAAGAACGTCTGAAACTGCTTATATAAGCATTCAAAATACGGCCTCAGGTTGTTGGGCCACTGCAGGCTACCAAGGCACGAAGCAGGCTTTGAACTTGGCAAGCGATTGCTACGCTGACGTATAAAAATGGCTAATTAATTAAATTCAGTAAATTTTATTTCGGTAAATCCGCTAGACGTCGACATTCATTCATGAAGTGATGCACTCATTTGGATTTCAACATGAGCAAACAAGGTTTTTACTTCATAAAATTTAAAAAAAAAAAGATGAATTAACAATATTTCAAGATATGATCGAGACATATACGTGGAAGTTCAGTGGGAAAATATTATGACAGGAATGGAAGGAAATTTCGCCAAATATCCAAGGACCAAAGCTTATCCCCGGTACGATTATGATTTTAATAGCGTCATGCAATATACACTGGACGGATTTGGAATTGGCGGGCGGCCATCGATGATCTTGACGGTATTATTTATTTTTAATTATCCATTTAATTTGCACTGATAAATAATTTAGTTCAAAAATTCATCCCTGAACGAGAATGAAATTGGAAAAGCGACAAAAATGAGCACCTCTGACGTCCTCCGAATGCAATCGGCGTACAAATGTAACTCTAATGGCGAAGGATCAGGAAAAAGCAGAGCTTTGTCGTGGGAAAAGGAGTCGAAATTCGCCAAGCACAACTTCTATTGAAACAATTTGTTTCCTATTTTACATAATTTGATTCGGTTTTCAACGACGAGAATAATAAATAAATCATGTGTCTCAGAAACATCATTTTTTTTTTTATTAAATTGTTCAATTATTAGAGTGTTTTATTAAGTAATTGCAAAATATAAAATAGACACAAAATGACAAAATTATGTTGAAAAATGAATATCGATGATCAGTAAAAAACTATACTTTATGAGTTAAATTTCGACTAAACACGCAGAAAGAATTTTTCAAAAAGCCAATAGCCACAGTGCAATTAAATGCACGTGTCACCATGTTCGTCAAACAGTCGCATTTTCTTAAATTACACCCGCAATAAAGAATACGTGAAAGCAATAATTACGCACCAATTGCCAAACCTTCTTTGCCGTGGAAGTAAAAAGGCGTAATTTAGGTCAGAAGAGTCGAGTGTAATTATTATAATTTCGTTGACGTACATGTCCACTTCCCACAGAACATTTAAATTATGATAAGAAAAAAAAATAAAAACAGGAAAAACTGCTGGCTGCATGAAATTCAGCCAGTTGATTTTTAACAAGCCTTGAAATGACTTCGATCCTCCTGAAAACAGCGGTAATATTGCAAATCCGAGTTTTCTCTATATTTGCAAACATTTTTATTGAAGATTTTCGCTGCCCTTTGCGCGATGGTCAACGGTCAGAATGATTCCGCAACGGACTGCTCCAGTTTGGATTTTTCGGTGACAAATCCATCTTTGTTGAAAGATTTTTCCTAATTTTTGCGACAAATCAGACAATTCCGAAAACTTGCTGCAGCCAGCCGTACGGAGAACTTTTGCCACTTTCCAAAATCCAGGGTGCACAAGCATGCAAAGCAACTGCCGCCATGATGAATTGGGTCAATACATATCAGCTTAATAATCTGCAATCCAAAGACATCAAAAACTTCATCGACGACAAATCCAAGTCATACCGTTACGAATTACAATAATTTTTGTATTTTTAAATATTCTTATATGATCAAAATTTAGTGTCAACCATTTGCACACCAGCTGTGAGTTTAATATTTACTCTTAATTATTTTTTACTTGAAAACTTTTGCAGACCGTGGTCAACTGCATCTTTGGCGCCAACGATTTTGTTGTAATTTTTTGTTGAAGAAAATATATTGTATATTTTTATTAATTTATCTGTGCAAATAGAATTCGTCTGGATCGATCAATATTCAAAATCTAAAAGCATTCCTGTCAACGAACGCGCCAAACACAACTTGGGGAAACATCATGAACACAATTTTGGACCCAATGAACTCTGATTACAACACAGCTTATCAATTTACAGACAGTATTAATAAATTACCTGAAAAAGTTTCTATTAAATCATGCTTCTGAATTTAAGTCGTCGAGGACAACTTTGAGAAGGTTGTTTGTCCAACAGGAAACGTCAACTTACTTCCAATTATTATGATGCAAATGCTTCAGAGTGAAATAATTTGGGTATTTTTGGTTCAAATTTATTTTCATAATTGATTTTAATTAATTTATGAATTCAAATATTTTAGATGTGTCCTAAGCAGGCGGTTTACGATACAAGTGAGTTTTAGTAAAAAAAATTTACAAAGAAACTGAAAAAAAAGATTTTATTTTCAAGAAAATAAATGCAGCGAGACAATGAAGAATTTCCAGTACTGCGATGGAAAAATCTACTCGAACACCGCAAAGGGAATATTTTTCTTCCCCAACGTTTAAATATAAAGTTATATCAAACTCTAAATTTTGATTTTGTGTGTTTCTTTGCATGGAAAAAAAATTGTACTTCATTAAAATTATGTTTGGACTCGACACTTAAATCGACACTTTATTTTAATTCCAAAACCTTCCATTCATAAGGAGCAATTTTTTTATCAGAATTTTCATATCAGAAAATTTAGTATTAGGCTTTGAACAAGTTTAAAACAAAATATATATAATTATTTTCTTTTCCATTTGGTTGATGTGGTTGATGTGGATTAACGTTATTGCTTTAAAACTAAAATTGAGAATTTTTTTGGAATAAGAAATAATTACAATAGTGGAGCACCTGGCGAGAATTGGTGACAAAGATTGTCATCAGCAATTAAAAATAAGAGTGTGGAGGGAGACGTGGTATATAAAAGCAGCGGCGCGTCCTTTTACTCAGAACTCGTGATTCGTTCACACCTGACGATGGGCAAGACTTCCTTATTAATTGTGTTTCTTCTCTTCGCGGAAGCAGTTTTTGGTTCGTTTCACATTCTCAATATTAGATGAACCTTGTAATTTTTAAAAATGCAGGCAAATCTTACCTGCAACATTTTAAGCTGCCCTTTTCCCCTTACGACAATCGGGCACCGCCAGGCAAAAAGGTTTCTGGGCAGTACACAATCGTGTCGCCCAAGCTCAAGTGGCCCAACGGCATTGTTTACTGGGAATACGATTCAGCCAACAACTTCAGTATTTTAATTTTCTTTTGTAATTCAGTAACAAATAATTAATTTTCCAACCACAGCCGACGCCGAGAAGGCGATCATCCAAAAAGGATTTGGAGAAATCCAGAATGCGACGTGCATGAAATTTGTTGCAAAAACTTCTGAAACGGCTTATGTGAATATCAAAAATAATGAAGAAGGATGCTGGGCCACTGGCAATTACCAGGGAACGAAGCAAGACTTAAACTTGGCTTCGGGTTGCTTTGGTGATGTAAATGATATCAAACGATGATCAAATGTGCCAATTTATTAAAATTATTCCCTCAGACATCAACAATCATTCACGAAATGATGCACGCGATGGGATTTGACCATGAGCAAAATAGGTTTTATTAATCTTGATTTTATTTTCAATTTCTATTAATTATGATTTTTCTTTCAAAAGATATGACAGGGACATGTACGTTGAGGTTCAATGGGAAAACATCGAGAAAGGAAAGGAGAACAATTTTGACAAGCAACCGCGGACCAAAGCCTACCCTCGATTTCAGTACGACTTCAACAGCCTGATGCAGTACTTTTTGACCGGATTCGGCATTGGAGGAAGACCGACGCTTGTCCTTGTGGTATACGGAAATGTTTTTTCTTAAAAACGTGACGAAATTTTATCCATTTGAAGAATCCGATGCCGGAGGAAATCACGAATAAAATTGGAAACGCGGTCAACATGAGCACAACAGATATTTTGCGCATGCGTGGAGCTTATAGATGTGATGCGAATGGCGAAAATTCTGGCCTAGGCCGCGTCTTCCTTGGAGAAGAGTCCAATTTTGCAAAGCACAACTTCTTCTAATATTGAATATATGAAATTTTGCAACTTTTTTATTTCTCACAAGAAAAGAATTTCTATTCTCGCAGTTGTTTTTGTGGAACCTTTTGGAACTTGAGGTGTTCATTTGTTCAAAAAAATAAAAAAAATTAACAAATTGTATTATGCTTAAATAAACACTTGAAATGATAACTCATTAAACCAAACATTGTATTATTTGTCCACCTCCTAAAATATTTGACCTGTCGTTTTATTATTATTATCTATATTTATTCTACTCCTAGTCTTAAAAAAAAATGAAATGGAAAAATAAACAGAAACTATATAGCATAAATGTTTCATAGTAAAAACACGGCTGCGCAGTTTTAGTTCACTTCAATAATTTATTTTAAATTTTTGTATATAAATTAACAAAAAAAAAATTAATCAATTCTTCACTCCCACTAAAAAGAAGCGGGAACGTGGCGCACTTGCGCAAATACGTGTGAATTCTCAAGTCTCGTGGCGTGGAAAGGGAAAGTTGCATAAAAAGAGTTTTTTCTTCGATTTTGCTTCACTTCCATTTCAAAATGAAAAGAATCGCAGCAACTTTGTTGATATTTGTCCTTTTCGTAGCCGTTTTGGGTGAGGCAAAATAAAAATGAAATTTTTAATTCAATTCTTAAAATTCAAGGCTCACCTCGGCGCAACAAGAATCAGGGAGAACGGAAAATTTTCAAGTACCCACTTTCCCCTTACGACAAACGATTGCCCGATGGAAAAATTGCTGGTCAATACACGTCCGTGTCGCCAAAACTGAAATGGCCGAACGCGACTGTTTACTGGGCCTACGATCCGGCCAACAATTTCAGTAAGATTTTTTTCTTTTCACTTTCCTCAATTCAATCGCGCATAATTGTTACTTTTTTTAAAGCTGCTACTGAAAAGGGAATCATTAAGAAAGGAATGCAGGAAATTCAAAATACGACATGCATCAAATTCATCGAAAGAACTACAGAAGCGGCGTACATCAACATAAAGAACGACGTCGCTGGTTGTTTTGCCACTTCCGACTATCAGGGCACGAAGCAGGACTTGAATTTGGAGAAAAACTGCTTTGGCGATGTAAGTAGTTTTTTGTGCAGTTTATTCCTCTCAACATTCCTACTTGTAATTTGATAGGCAACCACGACGATTCATGAAATAATGCACGCGATGGGATTCGACCACGAGCAAAATAGGTTTTGTTTTTGAATATTAATTTGTTTCAATTAAAAAAAATTGCTTTTAAAGATACGATCGCGACATGTACGTTGAAGTTCAATGGGACAACATTGAGGCGGGCAGGGCAAGCGCGTTCGAAAAACAGCCCCGAACCAAAGCCTATCCTCGTTACCCGTACGACTTTTTCAGTCTCATGCAGTACTTTTTGACCGGATTCGGTATTGGAGGAAGACCGACTTTGGTTCTCGTGGTATGAAATTAGTAATAATTTTTTTTTAAATTCTACATGGAATCATCACGCAGAATCCGCTGTCGCCCGACGCAGCCAGCAAGATCGGAAACGCTCCGAATATGAGCAGGACCGATATTTTGCGAATCCGCTCGGCGTACAAATGCGACTCCAACGGAGAAAGTTCTGGTCTTGGCCGCGCATTCCTCGGCCAAGAATCTAATTTTGCAAAGCATAATTTCTTCTAACGTGTTTTCCCATTCAAATAAATTTGGTCATTTTGAATCTATATTTGATGTATTATTATTTCAAGCCTACTTTTGTCTTTGATTTTAAAAACTTTGAAACAAATCAGGAAATTAAAAAAAAAGAAATCACCATTCCCAGTATGAATGAGACGACGAATATTAAAATTGTACAAAATTAGGTATCCTGAAATGAAAATCTTGCAATGTACATTAATATTATAAAATTCAATATTTGTTTAAATGTGACAAAAAAAGAGGAAATTTTGATCTTTTAAAACGATCATTTATGACTTACAGCATAATATTTATATGAATATTATTACAAATAAACATGAAAATTAGCAAATAATTCTCGAGTAATTGCAAAAAAAAGAGTTAGTATATTAATTATTAATGTTGAAAAGAGTATTTTTTGTTTTTGTTTTTGTTTCTTATAAAAATGTTCACAAATGTTGTCCGTTTTGCAGCTGGACTGAAAAATAACAAAAACTTGCATTCTGAAACAGTATTTTTAAAATGTGGAAAACTAAATTAATAATTTTAGTGAAACTGAAGTTATTCTAAAATTTTATTTATTTTCTTGAAAAAAATATAAAAAATAGCTTCATTTGATGTGAAAGTACAAATTTTTTTAATGATTATATAGCAATCAAGTATAATTATCAACAAAAGAGTGGCAAATTGATGCGTCCAAGTTTTTCCCACCCTCAATTTTTTTTTATAATTACGCTCACTGGTGAAATTTCAAGAGATAAAATAACATGACATATAATTACAGGCCATAAAGTTTTTCGCTCGCAGTTGGTAGAAATTGTTTATTGCCCTGCAAAAGTTCTGAAAATTGAAACCGTGTGCGTCAGTCTTCTTAATTGCTCTGAAAAAAAAAAAAAACGAGAAATGACGTCTTCTTTTTATCTGCATTTTTCGTTTTGCCTTTTTCTCTCTGCTTTCCTCAAGGTAAAGTTGAAAAGCAACTGTAAATTTGTTTAAAAAAAATATGAATTTTAAGAAAAAGGGTTTCAAACCTCAAACCTGATAGCCTCATGTCTACATCTGAATGTGAGATTAAAATAAGAATCGCGGAAAAAAATAGCTGACCGACCATTAATTTGAAAAGTACGCTTATTCGTAATAAAAATTCTCACGAGATGGGGCAAAAAGAAATGCTTCTCATTTTTCATGCTTGAAACATTCATCCACCATTGTCTGGTATCATTTTTATAATCCATTGAGTTGCAAATCAAGTTGTTGCAGAAAAATAATCACGGGAATGAAGAAAATCGGGCTTGTCCTCGTTGCAAAAAATTGTTTTTATTCAAAAACAAAACGGCTCTACCAGTTTTTGCGACGAGAACGATTTTCTTCATTCCCATGATCATCTCAAGTGTCAACTTTTTCAAAGAAAAAAAAATCACCTTAAAGAAATAATTTGAGATAATATATAGAATTAAATATTTAGTTTAACAAACTGTTTTTTCTTAAACTTAATTATTTAATAGTCCCTGAAGTCGTTTTTTATGTTTTTTTTTGCGCATTTGTTTAGCAGTCCTGAGCGGTCCGAACAATTAACATGGGTGACAGAGATTCGGAGAATTTCCATGCGTTTAATCAGAGAAACGCAGAAAGCTTGGCAGGCAGAAGCGCGAATACCAAATTAAAATGATCTTGGAGCGCGATCAATAAAATTAGATACGCAGTTTTTTCCTACCTTGGGCGCGCGGCGATGGTCCCTGGTCCTCTTGGTGTCCTCGGCAGGTCGGTTAAGACCTCCGTCGGCCCAAATTCGGCGAAATTCGGGCGAGACGCGACTTTTTTTCACCGCACCACAAAATTTGGTCCGAGCACTGCCCGAAAAATGCAATTTTTCTCTCCCTCCATCTCCTGCTGCTGCTGCTCCAAGACGAGAACAAACAAGTCAGGACTGGTCTGGACGGGGATGAGTCGCAAGAGGCGGGCAGGAAAATAAAAATCACAATTGAATTTTCTATTTAGGAAATGATGCCGTTCATCCGTTGTGAACTTCTTATAACTTGAATGAAAGTTGTTATAGCAATCATACTTTTCCAATAGTCTTCGAATTGGCTGAAAGAATTTGACAAAGAGCTATGAAGGAATTTAATGCACGTGCCACTATTTTTGGCAAAGAATTAATTAACCCCAATATTAAATATGGGAAATAGAAATAAAACACAAGACATTCCTTGTTGCGTGAAATACAAAAAAAGGCGTCATTTAGGTCAGAATAAGGAAAGGTTTTTTTATAATTATTTTGCTGAGGCACATTTCCACTTCCCCGGCATATCTGAATTTATATAAGAAAAGGTGAAACAAGAAAAAGTCGTGCCTGCAAGGAAATTCAGCCAGTTGATTTAAAACAAGCCTTGAAATGACTTCGATCCTCCTGAAAACAGCGGTAATATTGCAAATCCGAATTTTTTTCTATATTTGAAAACATTTTTATTGAAGATTTTCGCTGCCCTTTGCGCGATGGTCAACGGTCAGAATGATTCCGCAACGGACTGCTCCAGTTTGGATTTTTCGGTGACAAATCCATCTTTGTTGAAAGATTTTTCCTAATTTTTATAAAAATTCAGACAATTCCGAAAACATGCTGCAGCCAGCCGTACGGAGAACTTTTGCCACTTTCCAAAATCCAGGGTGCACAATCATGCAAAGCAACTGCCGCAGTCATGAAATGGGTCAACACATATCAGCTCAATAATCTGCAATCGAAAAGCATCAAAAACTTCATTGATGACAAATCCAAGTCATATCGTTAGAATGATATAATTTTTTATTAAAATAAATATTCTAACATTATCAAAATTTTAGTTTCAACGATTTGCGCACCAGCAGTGAGTTTAATAATTTGTATAGTTTTAATCAATCTTTATTTACTTGAATATTTATACAGACCGTTGTCAACTGCATCTTCGAAGCCAACGATTTTGTTGTAATATTTTCATTCAAAATGCTTTTTCTTTTTAAAATTTATTCGCAACAATAGAACTCTACTGGATCGATCAATATTCAAAGTTTGAAAGCATTCTTCGCAGCAAACGCGCCAAATGCAACTTGGGCAAACATCATGAACTCAATTTTGGACCCAATGAACTCTGATTTCAACACGGCTTATCCGTTTACTGACAGTAATAATGAATTAATTACCTGACAAATGTTATATTAAATATTTTAGTCGTCGAGGACAACTTCGAGAAGGTTGTTTGTCCAACAGGAAACGTCAACTTGCTTCCAATTATTATGATGCAAATGCTTCAGAGTGAAATAATTTGGGTATTTTTGTTTCAAATTTGCATTTCATTATTTTTACTTATGAATTTTAAATTAAAAATTTTAGATGTGTCCTAAGCAGGCAGTGTATGATTCGAGTAAGTTTTGAAAATAATTGTTTTTATAATGAAACTGAAAGAATTATTATTTCAAGAAAATAAATGCAGCGAGACAATGAAGAATTTCCAGTACTGCGACGCAAAAATCTACTCAAACACTGCAAAGGGAATATTTTACTTCCCCAACGTTTAAATAAATAAACTCATATCAAAACTTTACTTTTTGTGGTTTCTTGGAAAAAAGAATGACATGCATTAAAATTTTGTTTGGACCCATAACTTTCCTTTTATTTCATTTCTAATACATGCCTTTTTGGAATTTAGAAATGAATAATCACAAGCAGAAAATCTGCTTACTACTAGAAATTTAGATTGTAATAAAATTTTACATTAATCTGTGATTAATTTATATGGGTATTTTTGTATTGTTACTACTTTTATTATTATTAAATGTATGAATAAATATTCAATTCAATATAATTGTGGCTGTTGTGCATGAAGAAAATTGCTAACGGAGACATTCAGCAGCATTTAAAAAGAAAATTTAAGAAAAATTGGAGGGAGAACTGGTGCGTAGTTTATTTCACTCAAAATCAGGCGAATTGATTCGTTCACACTTTTTCACAATGGGACACATACGAAAGATTTCCGTCATATTTTCATTCCTCCTTTTCACGGTGGTTTTTTGTTCGTTTCACAAATTTAATCAAAGCCATAATCAACACTAAAAGGGTATTAATTGAAAGAAAACTCATCATTCTATTCTTTTCATCGATTTTTTTGCCCACAAATTCAAGATTTGACCCAGTTTTTTACTAAATTTGTCGAATTATAATACAAAATTGAAGATTATTTACTGAAATATAATTTTTCTTAACTCTTTCTTTGTATAAAGAAGTGGGGAAGTAGCGTACTTGCGCAAATAAGTGAGAATTTAACTTGGGCCGTTCCTTTCATTTTACTTCACTTTAGCTCCAACATGAGGAGAGACACAGCAACTGCTTCGATTCTTTATTTTATTCTTCTCGCGGCCGTTTTGGGTTTGAAAAAACAATGAATATTTGATTTTTTATTCCATTATATTTATGAATAAATTGATTTCAAGGCTCTCCTGGGCGCAACAAGAATCAGCAAGCGAGGAAAAATTTCAGATACCCGTTTTCTCCTTACGACAAGCGATCGCCTGATGGTAAAATTTCTGGGCATTACACTGCTGTGTCACCAAAACTGAAATGGCCGAACGCGACTGTTTACTGGGCCTACGATCCGGCCAACAATTTCAGTAAGATTTTCTCGTACTCAGCAGTAAATTTAATTTTTGGGAAAATTAATCTGTATATTTATTCTCAGCTGATACTGAAAAAGGAATCATTAAAAAAGAAATTCAAAACACCACATGTGTGAAATTCGTGGCAAGAACGACAGAAACGGCGTACTAGAACATTAAGAACAACGAGGCTGGTTGTTTTGCCATCGGCGACTACCAGGGCACGAAGCAGGACCTTAATTTGGAGAAAAATTGCTTTCCCGATGTAAGTTATTTAAATCCGGTTTTCAATAGTTATTTTGCTGAAAAAAAGTTTAAAAACTTAGTCAACCACGACGATTCACGAATTAATGCACGCGATGGGATTCGACCATGAGCAAAACAGGTTTTGTTTTTGAATATTAATTTGTTTCAATTAAAAAATTTACTTTTTAAGATACGATCGCGACATGTACGTTGAAGTTCAATGGGACAACATCGAGGCGGGCAGGGCAGGCGCTTTTGAAAAACTACCGCGAACCAAAGCCTACCCTCGCTACCCGTACGACTTTTTCAGCGTCATGCAGTACTTTTTGACTGGGTTTGGAATTGGAGGAAGACCGACTTTGGTTCTTGTGGTATGGATTTTATTTTTAAAATAAAAAATTACACAGGAATAAAAATATGTCTCGCAGGATCCACTGCCCTCCAATATAGCCAGCAAGATAGGTCTTGTTCCAAATATGAGCAGATCTGATATTTTACGAATCCGCTCGGCGTACAAATGCGACTCCAATGGAGAGAGTTCTGGTCTCGGCCGCGCATTCCTTGGCCAAGAATCTAATTTTGCAAAACACAATTTCTTCTAGCGTTTGCGTTCAAGTCAAATAAATTCAGATATTCTCAATCAATTTTTGCAACCTATATCTAGATGTATTTAAAACTATCTGAAATGTTCATGTAGTAATAAAAATTATATGAAAATTATCAAGTTCATTTCATTCAAATATTTCATCTCATGAATTTAAGAAAAAATTAATTAAAGGTGACAAGAATTCGCTCCTTGAAATTGATATATGTAGAAAATAAAAATTATTTCTTTATTAAAATAATGTAAATTATAAAGCGTTAATTCTCCTTTTTAACGGAGAGAATTATAAGTTATAAAAAATATGCAAAAATGATATGAAATCAGTTTTTCAGACATAGTTTTATGCAAAATTTAGAAAGAAAAAAACTGTAATTATTGCTTTTTTTATTCTCGCTTTGGTTGTTTAGTAAAAAAGAGCTTTCTTGCCTACCGTTTTGAAACCGCCTTGTCCTAAAATTTTATTCTTAAATATAGACGTACCGACGAAGACTGTTTTCTTCCCAGCAATTAAGTATAATTTTCAACAACAACAAAAGCAGACATTGAAGCGGCCATGTTTTTACTGACGTCATTTTCTTATCAATTTCTTTTTAATTGCGCTCACTCGTGAAATTTCGAGTGATAAAATAATTACAGGCCATAAAGTTTGTTCTTCACGGTAGGTAGTAATTATCTGTGCACGGTATAAGGTGGTGAAAATGGAAACCAGGCATATCAGTCTTGAACTGCCCACCGAAGAAATGAGGTCTCTCTTTATCTGCGTGTTTCTTTGCGCCTTTTCCCACTGCTTGGCCCGAGGTAAACATGTAGAAAATTTAAATACTTTAAACTCACAAGGCATTTTATAAAAGATGAACAAGCAGGGCGATATGAATACTATGTCAAACCTGTGAGCCACGTGTCGCCATCTGACATAAGAAGGGGTGGAAAGGCTGTGGGAAACCAAATAACCGGATTTTATACTTTGGTGGCGCCGAAGCAAAGATGGCCCTCGACAACCATTCCCTACGAGCTTGATGCAGCAAACACCTTTAGTAATATTAATTCCGATTATTTACTTTTTTCTTGCACATTTACAATCTCCAGGTGATGCTGAAAAAGCGCTGATAATGGACGCGATGAGCGCCATCTCTGACGAGACGTGTCTCGAGTTTGTGGAAAAAACGAGCGAGACTTCGTACATTTCCATTGGAAATGCTGAATCGGGATGTTTTGCTCAAATTGGTTACGACGTCGGAGCTCGTCCGGTTAATCTACAGTCGGACGGATGCTTCGGAGATGTATGCATTGAATACTTAATTCCAAAAAGATGTATAAATTAAATTAATTCAACTCGCAATCAGATCACAACGCCGATTCACGAATTGATGCACGCCCTTGGTTTTGAACACGAGCAAACGAGGTACGACCGCGACCTGTACATAGACATCCAATGGGAGAACATCCAGGACGGAAACGCAGACCAGTTTGAAAAGTTGCCGCGCACCTACGCTTATCCGCAGTACGAATTCGACTTCATGAGTCTGATGATGTACACCGTCGACTCGTTTGGAATAGGAGGTCGTCCTTCCATGGTTCTGACGGTGATAATTTTTTTAAACTACCAACGCAAAGTTCTCATACAATATTACTACTATTTCAGCCCAAGTATGAAAAAACCATCGACCCTTATCAAGTTGGTCGCGCCACAAACTTCTCCTGGACCGACACTGAGAGAATTTTCTCCGCCTACGGCTGCTACGCTCAGTACCAGGAACCAAACGCTGGCGCTCGCATCGCTGGAAGAGAACAAACGTTGACCATTTTTTGATAATAATTTTACGTATCGAGTTTTCGTGCAAGAATTTTGAATAAAATATTTCTTGGAAAAATGATTAAATAAATGATATGGAATTGTTTGAAAGTAAATTTAATCCAAAATTAAAATAATTAAAAACAGAACGATATTTCACATTGTTCAGAATAAAATATGCTTCTATTTTGAAACAGTACAAATTCTTTGCTAAAAATTTTTGTTCATTCACGATGAGACATAGCCAAAGCTAAAGGTTATGTTTAGGATTTTGTTATGAAAGTCGTGCATAATTTATGCATATTGACAAAACTCACGACTCACGAAATCAATACAAAACATTTTTTTAATAAATTACCTTTTAAATTTTATTTGAAAGTTCCTCTAACAATAAGAGCCCCCATGGAAAAGACGAAGAAAATAATGTGCTGGTCAACACAGCTCGAAGGGATCAAATAAAGCTCTTAATCTAATAGTAAATATCCCAAGATATTAGTCCAAATGCTTGAAAAACGTCAAAGTAAAACTTTCAATGGAATAGATTTTTTATATTATTTAAAAACGAATAAACAGCCTGCTGAAGAAAGACTGGAGTTTGAAATATCAAATTTATAAAAATAAAATCTGCTAAAAATTTTAATTCAAAAAAGCATTGATGTCCTTAAGATAATCAAAATATATGTTTTCAGTAATTCTTTTATTCATTTCAGATCAATGCATTTCATTTCTGGTTGCACGCAAAATTAGTTAATATTCATTTTTAAACTGCAAAGTAGAAAATCCCTTTTGCCGAGGAGTCATAGATTTTCCCATCACAGTATTGGAAGTTGTACATCGTTTCTTCGCACTTGTTTTCTGTAAATATTCGCGTGATACGCAACGATATTAGAATAAAATTGAACCACTTACTGATCGAGTACACGTTTTGTTGTGGGCACATCTGTATTAATTGGAATGTATTATAATTTTCTACTAAAATTAAAAAAAAAAAAAAAAAAATTACCCAAACCAGTTCACTCTGGATCATCTGCACAAAGATGAGCGGAAGGAGATTAACTTTTGATTTGCTACAAGTGGCACTTTCGAAATTGTCCTCAACAACTTTTATTGAGAGTGATTTATTAATTGATTAGTTGGACTTTTGATTTCCTCACTGTCAGTGAAAGGGTAAGAAGCAGCCATCGTCGAATCCAGAGGGTTCAGCATCTTGCTCACGATTCCCTTCCAAGTTGTGCTCGAAGTGACGCTCAAAAGATATTCTGTAAACGTTGCCACGTTGATACTTCCATCAGCTGACTATATTTTTTATTAATTTGAATGTTACTTAGATAATTATTTCAGCGATCCTTTTTTAACTCACCACCCACGAGTTGGCCGCAAAAACGCAGTTCATAAAAACCTTAAAGATTTTAGAATTAAAATATTATATCGGAACTCGGTTGATACATTTTTTTTTCATACCGCAGCTGCACAAGCGTCTTTTGCTGAATGCAATTGATTTAGTTTTTCGAATTGAAAGCGAATTAAAATCTCACTAAAAGCTGAAGATGAGTTGTCAGGGAAATTCTGCATTGATTTGGACTGAATCACATTCATTTTGTAGCTGTTGCCCCATTCCAGCAATTTGGCGCTGGGTTTGCACGACTTGATGTCAGACATTAACTTTGTGTCCAAAACATTGCCGAATGGTGTTTTGCAACAGGTCGCTGGTATTTTCTAAAATACCGTTTATTTAAAATTTAAGACGGAAAAAATATTTAAATTTACCTTGAAATCCAGTTTTGCACAGTCTGTGCTGTCGTCGGACTGGCTCAAGACGAAATCCGTCCTGAGAGTGCAGAGCTGAAATATTTGATCTCAAACGTATTTTTTAAAATTTTAATTAGCTATTATTTTACAAGTAGAATAAGTGTGATGCTCTGCATTGTTATTCGTCGCGTGGAGGAGAACGAGGATAAAATGACAATGAGGCGTTGGAAAAAAAGAGAACTGATATATAGAGGTGGAGGACATGGTAAGTGGTGGGGAACGAAAAGGAAATCATGACGTCAAACAAGAATAAAACGTTTGTTTAAAAATTTGCATGTTTAACCATCATTCTAATGTATTTCCAGCATTGTATTAAATTATTGCAACATACAAATTTTTGTACTTTTTTATGTCGATGATTACGCTTTTTTTTTGTACAATGGGTACAATGTACTTTTTTGCGTATGGAGAATAAATAGATAAATAAAAACAAATGTGACATTTCAGTATTCTTTTTCCTCCATTCGGTTCATTTTCTAATATTGAGAAATAAAATTAATATGCAATTTAGTGTTCTAGATAAAACTTTTTCTTTTCATTAATAAGTCCGAAGCAGTAATTAAATTACATAAAATTCAGTTTTTTTTTGTTTTTTTTTTATTGTAAAAAAATTTCCAATAATTGTAAAATAATAAATAGCTCACGGATTTCTAGATTTTTTGCTTTTCTAATAACCTATACAAAATCATAAAATTAAGGTAAATTTATATCCCTCAAGCGCCCCATTGATTATTATATGGATGAAAAGCCTTCAATTTAGCCGAAAGATTAAATTTTTTTACTTGATAGAATTTGTCTGTGCTAAATACAAAAGAAGTTTGGATGGATTTTAGGTCAATTTAAGTTATTGCCAATTTATAATTTTTGGAGATAACTGTAAAATTTTAAGTCAAAATTTAATTTAAAAAGATGGATAATCCAGGCGAATTGCAAATATTGTTTAAATTTGAGGAGAAAATTTAAAAAAAAAAACACGTATTTATTATTTTAAACATTTTGATTAGAGCAAACTACGAAATAAAACTTGAGAGGAAGCAAAATTCAAGATTGACTGTTATTGTCACCACGAGCGCTTCCTTTGCCTCGTATCAAAGAGCGTTTGTTGTGCCAAACGCGCTTTTGCACAACACAGGACGCGCCCCTCGAGTGGAAGATTTTCGCACACCTAGACAAAGTTTGTTTTGCAGCCTGCGGATAAATAACAAGGATGGGTGAATGTGAACACAAACATAGTTTAGCATTCTAATTTGCACGCGAGGCGCAGCTAATAAAGAAGCATCGCAGCCACTCTCCGCAAGCTGCAATTTAACGACGCGAGCTTTGTTTGCCCCAAACACTTCCTCGCTCCAGCCGCGCGCCGAGCGAACGAGCAAACAATGCCGACGGAAACTATTTCTCACTACGAGATGTGTTCAGGGCACAATCGTGTTTTGTGCGTGTCGGCGCCGGAGTTAATGACAATTTCCATTCCAGCCACAAAGTATAGAATTTTTGCTTGGAATTTAAATTTAATTGGTGAATTAAATGCTTTTCTAACAAACCTATACAACAATTCATTTGATTTTGCGGCAAATTTTACATTAACGAGGAAATTACGATATCTAAAATTTTAAAACTTCTGAACCTTTTCCCACAAAATCAATTAAAATTTTTATTTTGACTTAATTCGGGTGATATGAATGAGATTTGATGAAATTTTAATTAATTTAGGTAGAGCTCAGTTCGAGAAACAAAAAAAACATTTTTATTTTGGAGTATTCCTAATAGAAAATTGTTCAATTTTAAAAATTCAGTTCTTCTTATAACTATCATTTTTTTACTACACCTTGAAATTGACATTTTATATGTAGAGAAAAATTAAAATTAATCAGGCCGTGTTTTTTTTTCTAAAGCGTCTCTGAGTTCCTTTAAGTCGCACGTGGGTTGGTGGGTTGTATGAAAGAACGATAAATTTTATTGAAGAAATCATCAAAAGCAAATTGAGCCACAGAAATAAAACTTCTTTGATTAAAAAAGTAATTAATATGTTGATTCATTATTAGACCAAACAATTAATCCTAGCATTCGTTTTGATCTGGCTCTGCAATCTACACTCTCGGCAGGAGCAAACAACGGCTCAGTTGATTAAATTGCATTGAGAGTTTAATAGGAAGAGCGGTTGGTGGTGGGGCAGATAAAATAGGCGCGGCCAACAAGAGGTCGTCGCAACACATGCTTTCTCACGAGTCGGTCCGATAACAGAATCCAGAGCGGTACATCACACGATAATCTCGGCTGGCAACCCTTTCGCCCGGCTCGGAGCCAACGTGCCTTATCAGTCAGCAAAGTGAGGAAAACCAAGTCGAAAAGTAGCAAAAAAAGAAAAAATCCAAATCGGAGAGCGTTTTGACATTTGATAATGCCGAGAGTGTGTTTTTGACAGTTAATAATACTAAAAAGCAAATAATAGAGAGCGGCTCACTCGTTGCCATGGCGACGAACAAAGGCATTATTTCCGACAACACCCACTTGCTGCCTCGTAAAAAATGGAGCTTCTGCATTTTACTCTAACGACGATTGTGTGTGTGCAGTCGTCTCTATCGCGCTTGAGATGAAATGCGAAATTTTAATGCCCTCTTCTTTCTGAACGAGGGCGACCGTTTTACATGCGCTTAACCGCACACTTAGCTTGTTTGCTGAAAAATGCATTTCTTCAGCATTTTCATTTTTCTGTTATAAATGCTCAATTATAGCTGAAACTTTAAAATATTATATTTTTTATTAATAATATTATTATATTTAATAAAAATGGTTATTTGTCGAATTTCAAATTACTTTTAAACGAAAAACTGCTCCAGACTAGAAAATATTCTCAAATGTCAAGTTTTCTATTGATTCATAAACTTTTACTTGTCAAAAGTGAACGCTTTTATATCTAATGGATATTTGATTGCGGAGAAATTGAAGGAGTCGGCGTTATTCTTGTGGCAATGTTCATCACAATGTCAATTTGAGAGAAAACCTTGGCTGCAGTAATATGAAGGATAACAAGAGTCGCATCAACTGTGATGCTTTCAAGTGTCCTCGAGCAAAACTTGCCAACGGAATGTGTGTGATTTAGTACAAGGACAAAAGCAAGCGTCTTTTGAAAAGTGATAAGGTCGCTGTCCATTTTCTTTTTCTTCCAGGAAAGAAATCCAAAAAGTGGAGCAATTTTTAAAGAAAATTACTACCCGCATTTTGATAAACGAAAATTGGAACTTTTTTCCTCCTGCCAGCGATGAAGAAGTTAAAAGTAAAAATAGGCAACCTGTTCGTCTCGTAAGCAAAGCGGGCGAGTATTAAAATGTTTTCAAGTGAAGAGAATGCAAGAAAAAATAAATATGTAGATTTAAAATCCGCTCAAAAAGTCATAAAGGCGGATATTTCTGTGGAATAAATTTAAAAACATCTGAAGCCCCGGTCAGCAACAATACAATGAAAGCTTTTCACATGGAAATTGAATGGGAAACTCTATTGGAGCGGCAGAGGTATTTTATTAAAGACTGCAATATCTATCGCTTGTGCCATTGTCACGCATTCGGAATTCGAGATAAAAATAGCGCGCTATGCAAATACGGCGTAGAATTTTTATTTTCTTATTTCCGCTCTCTTTCTTCTCCCTTTTGACGAGAGCTCTGCAAATCCACATGCATACTTATGTGCCAAAGATCTCGCTCGGATAGGCATTCCGTCGTCTCGTTCGAGAAATGATTTCGAGGGCACTGAAAAGAGTGTAGATGCGTGTTTGGTGTCAAATATCATGACATGGAAATAATGGTCTTGTCGATCACCCGCTTGCGAACCTCCTCCGACGATTGAGTATCAAAATCGCCTCGGAAAATAATGAGAAATTCAATCTGAATATTTTAGGTGTTGGAAATCAGATTTTTGTTCTGTGTGGATGAATTTTTTTTTCTAAAAAATGCTTTTTTTAGAGGATTAAAATATAAAACATTGGAGTTTTAGCAAGATTGATTTTATTTTTAGTTCGATCACTATAGAATATTACCAAACTGGTTTGAGAAAATCTGAGAGGGACTTTTGACCCGTTTATTGGCTTGGACGGCAGATTGGCGTGCCTAGCTGTGCAAGATAATTAGGTCTGTCGAGCATTACGACGTTCCCGGTATTTGATGAGGCCGACTTGGGCTTGTGTTCTTAGTGCCTTGTCTTCGTTGCTCTTCATGGTTTTGAGACTCGCAAGATCGCCATCAAAGCGAGGCAGGGTTGAAAGGCAAACACACGCAAAGGCCTTTCAACGTGGTCAATTAATTATTGACTTGAAGCAAACTAAAAGCATAATTTTGATAAATATGGCAAACGCGCCGAGTTGGCGCCGCCTGCGTTCAATTATACAATTTGGCCCGGACAAGCGAGCATCAAACATGCAGCCGGATAAATGACTCCCTGTGCGGCAATTCAGTGGCGCACACAACACAGGTATGCATCGCAACGGGCCAAAGTGTTTTGCCAAGCGTGGCCGTTTACTTTGTCGCAGCTTCATGGCCATCAAGATGACGGCACAAGCGACCGTTGCCATGGCGTGCGCATTCAAACGAGCACCAAAGCCGACACGAGAGCGGCCATTGTCCAGTACGCGGACGGCGGAAAATAGTGCGATACATTCAGCAAACTACAAACTTATGTTTATGTTGACGACGAATAACGATTTTGGTTTTCAGTTGCTTGTCAAGATAAAGTTTTATGTATCGTATTTTATGACATCAGCCTCAAGTCAATTTTTCTTTAATTTCTGCTTTGAAACTTCAAAAGTTTATAACGATTGTTTTTCCTTGAAATATCAATTTCAACATTAATTTATATAAAATTAATTATTTCTATTTTTAAATCATTTATTTTCAACATATTGTCACGGTGTGACATAGCGGATGAGCTTGAGTCAGGTATTAGCGCACTGTCAGCAGTACAGCGTACTGGCGGACACGGGCCTTGCAGCCAGGGCAGTCGTACACCGACCGTACAGGCAGTCGTGCGTCAGCCGTACAGAGAGTCGTACACGGGCTATGCACTAGAGCAGCCATGCACCAGTAGAGTTGCACCTCACTGAGCAGTTGGACGAGACCGTCCGACGAGACGCCCTCACCATGGCCGTCATCCAGTGAA